TAGTGTTGCATCTCAACTCGATCCTGAATCTCTCTATTCAAACCACTTAGAGACCGTGCCATGGTAGCTTCTCTGTCTTCCTGAACATTAGCTCTCATCATAAGGATCTCCAACTCCTGGAAATAGTCCTCCATATTACGATTGCCTTGAGTCAGCCTTCTCAACTTTTAGTGTAGCTCTCGGTGATAATGGTTAGGGACAAAACATCTCCTAGCTTTCATCTCAGCCCATATATCAATATGATATTCTCCATTTCGTCTCCTGCTTGTCACCAACTGATCGCATTAATTAATAGGATAATCACAAAACTCAGTGGTTGCAATTCGTACCTTTTTCAACTCAATGTAGTTTTGGCAATAAAAAACGAGCTCAATATTTTTCTTCCACTCTAGATATGCATTTGGATCGTTTTTCCCTTGAAAATATGGAACCTTCAACCTAACACCACCTAAGTTGTCATCAGCTCGATCCCTGCCTTCTCTAACATGTCGTGGTCTCCTACGGCTTCCTCTAGATGAGTGACTATCACAGCTGTAATAATCAACTTCTTCATCAGCCCTTGGATGTCTAGGTTGAACTTCTTCTCTCCTGTTAGGCAAGTGTTGGGGTTGCCTCTGTTGTGCCTCTGCTTGCACTTCTTCCAACCTCGCATAGATACTGTTCATCTCAACTTTCATCAGTCGATGCATCTCTCCCATCATCGCCTGTACTTGTAGGTGTGGAATCGCGGGTTGTTCGTGTCCTACATGGTTATTGTCTTGGCGATTATCTCCATCATTAGACATGATTCTTCCCTGCAAAGATTAACAAACAAATTAGAAGTAAAAGGTTCCTCACAAGTGTTTCTCTCAAGTGTTTCACTCAAGTGTTTCTCTCAAAATGGTTTCCTCTTAGTGATTTCTTAAGAGTTCTTATAGAACTAACCAACAACTTCAGAATGTTTTCTCCAAGTCAATCCACCAGTAAATCAAGTAAAGAATATAAAGAAAAGAAAGCTTAGAAAGCTCAAATAGAATAGAACGGAAAGAAAGAAAGATAGAATAAAAAAAAAACAGAAAGAAAAGAAATAGAATAAAAAGAAGAAAGTACTGAAAGAAAATTAGAATAAGAAACTTTAGATTTGAAAAACAAATTCCAGAACTACTTAGAATCGCAGTGTTCTAAAACTCAATACTCTCAATGCTTCAAAAGAAACAAGGCGGTGGAACCTTGATAAGAAGATGGCGTGTAACTAAAAACCTCAGGATCGCAATGTCCTAAGACCCAAAGCTATCTTAAAACGACAACTCAAATCTCGGCTGTGAATGGTGCCACAAATGATGATGGAAATCACTTGATAAGTCGGTTGATTGCTAGGATGAACAGACCAAGTAATCGGAAATGTTTACAAGGAACAAATGAAAATCACTCTCACAAATAAGAAGAAAAGTATTTGATTAAAAATTGGTTGTGTTTTCAAATGAGATTACATGTGTTTAAATAGGAAAGAAAGGAGTTGGCAAATGGCCAAACTCATGGTCAAAGCAATAACTAAACAAAGACTGAATAAAAACTAAGTTTGAATGACTCTTGAGCTTCAAAAGTGACTCTTGAAGTAGCCTGATTTTCGGATTGCCCTAGAGGACTGGAGTGGTCGAACTAAAAAAAATGAAGTGGTCGAATTATTGCTGTAGGGGCCAGTTTCATCATTTGCTGATTTTGGCTTAGTAACTTTGTGATCTATTTGCCTCATTAAAACCTTTCCTGGAAAACTCATTGGGACAAAACCAAGCATAAGGAAAAAGAGTATAAATGAACACAAACCCATTAAACCTCCTCTTGGACTTGGATCATCATCAAGACTTCTTGAGTTGAGTCTTCTTCATTCCAATCCGAGTTCTCTTTGGATGTGAACATTTGGTTAAGTAAACCTCCAATTCCTTGTATGAATCTATTAGCTCTAGCATGAGTCAAAAGTCCAGCTGCTGGTACAAGCATTGCATTCGCAGGTTCAAGCTCAGCTTCCACAAGTTCATCCTTGCTGCTTTCCATGATCACATCAGTTTATTACCTTCAGTTGGAAAAAAAAAACACAAGAGATTCCCTCACGTTACTATAGACTTAATCAAAGGTTGTTGTAAGTTGAGAGCTTAAGCAAGACAAGTTTACCAGAAGATAAGCTTGAGTGATTCCAGAACCACCTTTAGGGGGGATTTTATCACCGGCCGATACATCGATGATGTTGATGATATCTCACAAAGGATTGACATCACCCTTTTTGTGACACATCAGCTTAACAAAAAAATGGCAAAAAAAAAAACTCAAATTAAAACCTTTAATTAATCTATATCATTTAATTTATTGACATATCTTACAAATAATTTTTTTTATTAATTAAATTCTTTTGAAACTTAAAACAAGACTCAAAACAAATTGCATTGGTGTTCTATAAATTTCTTTGAATGAGATTTTTTTCTTTAATAATAATATGTAATACATATTACACACAAAAAATAATAATAAAATTTAGTTTGATACATATTACACACAAAAATTGTAACATTTTTTTGTCTTTACAATTATTTGATGTAATTTTGATGGATAAATATCTGATTACCATGTTAATTAATATCGTATCATGATAATGTTGATAACCATGCTAACTAATATGACACTTAATTATCATATTGTACAAATATCGAGTTAACCCAATTATCATAAAATTAAAAGTGAAATTGTTATGTTAATGCTATTATTTTTTCATAAATTTATCGTGTTAACCTTGTTATTATGATAACAATTATATTAATCTTATTAGTATTTCATAAAAAATATTCACAATTATTCTGATAACCTTCATAATCAACATTATTGCTAACATTATTATTATCACCATCCATCAAGTTGTTGCTACTATTACCACCATCACCAATATGTTATGTCACCATTATCATCCTCGTCGTTATCATTATCAATGTTATTACTGCCAATATTATTGTTATCAATATTATCTTTTTTTTTACCTTTTTCTCTTTCTTCATCTTCTTTCTTATTTTTCTTTCATCTTTTTTCTTCTCTTTCTTTCTTCCTCTTCTTTCTTTTTTATTTGCTCTCTTTCCTTTTCTTTCTTATTCTTTTTTCAACAATTTCTTTTAAAAAAATGAAAAAAAAATAACACATTAATCTTTCGTTTGTGAACAATAATATTGAAAATTGTCAAAAAATATTGATTATTTATTCAAATATTGGTAGGCACATATTACAATTTCTCAAGAATCTATATATGAACTTTTAAGTTTAATGTGTGATGAATAAAAATATTTCAAGAATATTAAATTATATAAAATTACTCCTAATACTTTTTGATTTGTTTCTAATTTTTAAAAAATCATTAGATCAAATCGAATACTTGACTAATGTCTAACAAATTTTTGAATAAAACATATAAGCTTCAAAAAATTATTATCTTATTATATTATCAAATTTTACTAATATTTCAAGTTAAAATTGAAAAAATTATAATAATTATTAATTTATTAAATATTAATTTATAAAATTTTTATTATTTTATAATATTGAGGGAAGCCAAATCCCCCGAAACCTTAGTCACTGTCGTAGCAGAGCCTTCCTCAGACATTCCTTCTCTTTCCTGTTCTCCTTTCCGTTTGCTGGAGCCCAGGCCAAACTAAGGTAGATTTAGACTTTTTTTTTTTGTTAAAAGGTTTTCTTATATTAGATAAAAACGAATGTTACATAAAAGCAAATAGAACCATTACAGCCAACGGATATCAGAATTCGGAAGAAGGGAAAAACTGTTATCATAATAAGTAGTGATCACCTTATGGATCGATCGCAGACCAACGCTGAAGAATTGAAGTACCATTACTTAAACCCATATGAATAAGACCTCGGCATTTATCCTTTACTGTAGAGAGTATAAACTTCAGCATCTTTTCTTGATTGAAAGTGGTTCCTTCGTGAAATCTTCGGTTTCTTTCACGCCATAGCTCGAAAATAGTGCTTTGCCAGCTTTGTAATAGAGCAAGTTTGGACGATTCATCTGATGCTGCAGACGGCAACCAAAGAAGAATTTGCTGCCATTGAAGTGGAGGATCTCTGATGTTAAGCTTCAGCGTGAGCTTTCTCCAAACTTCCGCCGAGTAAGAGCACTCGAAGAACAAGTGATCACGTGTCTCGTAGCCTGAGCCGCAAAGAAGACAAATACTCTCTGTATCATAACTCCACTTCAACGAGCGGTCTAGAGTTGGGTTTCGATTGAGAATAAACAGCCACGTAGCTGTCTGATGCCGAAGGATCGCGGCTTTATGTCAAACAAGAGGCGCCCAAGACTGTTCCGGCTTTTTTCGGCGAATTGCGTTCCACACTGCTTTGAAGGAGAAGCACTTTTGACTTATTCCATCAATAGACCAAACCGACTGATCGGTAGTATAAAAGCAATGAAGTCCTGACATATAGGAATGAAGCATAACTTGCTGCTCTGATCTAGCCGAAGGAATGGTCCAACCCCCACCCTACCAAAGCTCTGAGATCGTTGCAAAGAGAAGGATTCCCAAGCGTGTGGGGCTTCCGAACCCAAGTATGTTGGTCCACGGATTCCACCAGAAAACATGGAATCGCCATTACCAAGTTTTAGACTTTTTCTTATACGTCTTTTTATTCATAAGCAAGTTTTACATACTTGAATATTAGTATATAATCATATAACGGTTTTAGAAATTTCTTTGTTCTTCGGCTTGCTATGTGGACGAACCTATGCCAGAGTCTAATGTTCGAAATGCATAACTATAAGATGATCATTTGTTTTTTTTTTGGACAGCTGCTATAAAATGATCTAGGGAACAGATATATTTGAATTTTTTAGAGTATGTTTCTCAGTAAACTTGAAAATTTGGATGATAGTGAAAAAATCTCATAGAATTATTATCTCCATCGGTGTAATTGATTTTGATTTAACTGATATCCAATGAAATAAATCTTGTATGTCTCTAATCTCATGAAATAACCAAAATTCATTTACATCTTTTAAACCCTCCGGTTTAGTCTACTCTCTCACCTCCCGAGTTGTGCTTATCTTCTTAAGGTGTCGTTTACAATTCTTCCAAAAACCTCAAATTTCTTCTCTTTACAGTAAAAAATTCATCAGAACCTCGTCGCGATTGATGGGTTAGTGTTACTTTCTCTTTAGAAGATACTTCAACGAATGTGTAGTTTTGGGGGTTTAGGGTTTTCACAATAGAATCAATATCTTGACGAAGCAAATTTCCCCATTTCGTTTTGATTCAGTTGCGGTGATGCTTTGTGGGTCATCTCCTCCGATTACATCTCTTCTCTACCCAAAAACCTGTAAATTTGGTCAATCAAAATCGAATTCAAAGAGATTCTTCTCTCTGCGCGCTTCATTGCCTGTTTCCGATAACAAGCTTCAAGTCGAATACACACCATGGCTTATCGTTGGGCTTGGTAACCCAGGAACAAAGTACTACGGAACAAGACATAATGTAAAAATCCACTCTTTACATTTCATTTTGGTGTTTATAAACCAAAGCTCTCTTCTTTTTTTGATTCTTTATTTGTTTATGTGCAGATTGGTTTTGAAATGATTAATCATATAGCTAGAGAAACAGACATTTCTATGAACACGATTCAGTCCAAAGCTTTAGTTGGGATAGGTTCTCTTCGTGCCATGATTCATATAGTTTCTGGGTTTTTGTTTTTCACATTGTTTTGTTAATTCTAGGGATTCACTGTGACCAGAACAGGTGCTGTTGGAGAGGTTCCGATTTTGTTGGTTAAACCTCAAGCATATATGAATTTCAGTGGTGAATCGGTTAGTGATTATAACTTGTAATTGTCTAAATGTGGTTTGAGAACCTAAAGTCTTTGGCTTTATATACTTATCTTTGATTTCTGAAGGTTGGGCCATTAGCAGCTTATTATCAAGTACCCTTACGCCACATTCTGATGGTAAGTACGAGCTCTTAATATTTTGCTGTGTGATGATAATGAAACAGAAGTGATCAAGAGGATTTGTATTTGTCTTTATGGTGTAGATATATGACGACATGGGTTTGGCTAATGGTGTCTTGAGGCTTCAACCAAGAGGAGGACATAGCCACCACAACGGGTAAGTTATGTCGATGAATAGGGAAGTGAACTTAGTTCGAATTATTGGAATTGGAAATGTTGAATTTGTAAACTTAGTCCTGACTCTTGAGGAAGGGAGATGAAACAAAATCTCAAGATCTAAGATCCATGGATACTGAAGAATTGGAATGGGAAATGCTGAATTTGTTCAATTTCATAACTTAATACTCACTCTTGACACCTGAGGAAGGGAGATGTTTATGTTGAAAGGACACAAAATCCATGGATAAATTAAGAATAGTTAGTATCTGAATCAAAATAGTCTTAAATCTGTTGTATTGTTAGGAAGTACATCACACTATGACGAAACCAATGTAAATTCGTTTTAACTTTTACCAGAAGTAAAACAAGATAAACACTTCTTCTGATTCTTCTGAGAAAGGCCAATAACTTCTTTTGTTCTGTTTCCAGGTTGAAGAATGTGATAGAACATTTAAATGGCTGTCGTGGCTTCCCTCGTTTATCAATTGGTTTGTGTTCCAGCTCCACCGTTAAGTCATCTTCTGCTAAATAAACTTGCGCAATCCATAATAAAATTGTCTGGTAAATTGCAGGAATTGGGAATCCACCAGGTAACATGGACATGAAAGCGTTTCTTCTCCAGAAATTCAGCCCCTCAGAGCGCAAACAGGTAACTTTAATCTAAGTTCACAAGCCAATTGATCTCTGAAACTGAAAGTCTGATACTTTTTTGGATTCTGGACTTTATATTGACTATTTGTTCATAGAATTCACATCGAGTATAAACGAGTATGTTGACCTGAATCATGTTTAGATCGATGCGGGTATGGAACAAGGTGTTGAAGCTGTGAAGACACTTGTTGAAGAAGGATTCAGTGACAGTATATCTCGATTCAATTTGGGGCAGAAATACAAGTTTCACACAGTTTGATTCACTGTAACAAGTAACACCACCATTATCATAGTCCAACATTGTCATTATCCTGAGGTTATATTGTAAGCTGAAGATCAATTTTAAATGTTGATTTTTCCTCTTTTATTTGACAAAATTTGCTGTTTTGCCTCTAATTTGTGAATGTATGTGTACTAATCACCTAGTTGGAGTTATTTTTGGCAGTTTAATTAACTATGAAATTATCTTATGGTTAAAAATGATGGCATATGGTATTTGGCTAAATATTAAGAAAAATCGGATGTATTATTGTTACCTGACTAAACCAAATATAAGAAACGATATACAATTGTTGGTTAATGAAATTAATGACCGTTGATCATAATTCATTGGGTCCCATACTACCCAAATAAGACCGTTACACGTAAGTAATAAGGGTAAAATCGTCAATACAATAAAAGTTTCTCGACTGAATCTATATCAGACCGTTGCGGGAACAAAAAAGTCAATAATAAAACCCTTTTTTCTATCATTAAATAAAGCCCTTTGCGAACAACAAATTCGAGGAAAACAAAAGATCTGTCGTCAGCTGAAAGTTTGATTCGAGAGATTTTAATGGCCGATACAATCTCAAATCCTAGTATGGAACCTCTGTTTTTCTCTGTTGATCCAATGTCTCTCATACTCTCTCAAAACACCGACACACATCAGCTTAAACTCTTGTTAGACGGTTTATGCGGATTCGAGAGAGGACCAAGATACGAAGAATACTCTCGATTGCGTGAATCAAAGCTTCGGATGAAACGAGATTTTCAGAAGTTTCTCGAGGAGGAAGAAGAAATAGAATCAGAACCGAAGAAAAAACAAGTTAGATTCGAGGGTGATTCCGTAATTTCACGAGAAGAAGATGCGATTTCGCCGGAGAAGAATAAGAAGAAACAGACCCGGTTTGGGTTTTCTCCGATGTCGTCGAACCCGAGAAAAGCTCCGTCTTCTTCGTTGGCTCAATCCGTGCCTGATTTCTCCGCCGTGATACGTAAAGAGAATCGCCGTCCCGTTAACTACAACACTACTACTCCTCCGCCGCCTTCTTCGAAGAGCAGAAATGGCGGCGTTTTATCGGGATCGATTTCTTCTTCTTCCGCCGCCGCAAGAGGGAGCAAATCGGCGAGTGTTGGGGAGAAGAAGGGTAAAGGGTTGATGGGAATGGCGCGTAAGAGCTACGCGAGCGTTGAGGATCTTAAGAAAATTTCAATGGCTGCTGCTTCTGCAATTAACGGCGCCGGAGCAGGAGGGAGAAGAGCCGTTGGCGGTGGTCGAACCATTCTTGGTTACAGACAAAATTACTGATTTTGTTCTCAGCTTTGATTTTTGATTTTCCACGATTTATTCTTTGTGTTTTTTTTTTTTAATTTGGGTTTCCATTGCTGAGAAGAAAGTCTTGGATTTGATTGTTGATTTGGTTTTTCTTTTTGTTTTTGGCTTTTTGGTGTGTTGGTGATTTGATTTGTTTGTAAAAAATAAAGCTTACACATTCTTCATTCTTGATATAAAAACTCGTGTGATTCTTTTAAACTAAACAAATCGAATCAGTTTAGTCGCAGTAACATTCGTTCATGTACACATGCCTAAGTCCAAAACCGTTAAATACTAAAATTGTAAGAGTTTAGGAAAGGGGAGAAGATTGACAAAGAATTTAGAGATAAGAGAAGTTTGAGAGAAGAAATTTAAGATGTTTCATTGACCCTATTCGATAAGAAGAAATTTAGAGTGAAATTTAGATTGCCATTGAAGTGTTTGAGTTATAGATAAAAACTTTGGATTCCAAATGAATTAATTGGTGTAACTTGATTGCCTTGCATAGTTGTGAAATCAATATGAACATGCCGTCCAGATATATTCTTACTGATTGTGAGAAAGATACATGTTCTGGTTGTTTTCATAGCCATAATGTAAAACAGTTAGTTTCTAATTAATTTGGCTAAAAGAATTTTTTTGTCTCCCCTAACTACTATCCAAACATCTTAGAGTAAATTTTAGATTGACATAGAAATGTTTTGTATTATATAAATCATATAAACGAACCTATCTTAGATATAAATTTTAGATTGCCAAATGAATTAATTAGTATAACTTTGATTATGTTGCATAGTTGTGCAGTCCAATCAAATTCTTACAGATGCATGTTCTATTTATTTTTATAATCATAATGTAAAACAGTTAGTTTTAATTTGGTTAATATAACATTTTAGTCCCACCTAACCATGATCCAAACATTTTAGAGTAAAATTTAGATTGATGTAAAAGTGTTTGAATTGTATAGATATTATATATACGATCTAACAATCATAGATGAAAGCTTTAGATTGCTGAATGAACTAATTAGTGTAATTGTGTTGCATTGCATAAGTTGTGAAACCAACCCAAACATGCAATTCTATCAGATTCTGGCTGATGGTGAGAGAGATGCATATTCGGTTTGTTTCATATCATAATTTAAACCGTCATTTTCTAATTAATTTAGCAAATATAACACTTTTGTCCTCCCAACAAACCATGATCCAAACCTTTTAAAGTAAAATTTATATTGTCTTCTTAGTTTTCTTTGTCTTCCTATACATCTTCTATTGCTACAAACTAACCAAACTGATTTCGCATCCACAACCCATTAGTTAGCTAAAATATATAAAACCATCAGGTCAACCTCTCAGGTTTTCCATCAACAAACGTTTTGTAGTCATTTAAAGACGTCCATGACTTCTGATTTTTGAATAATTTACACAACGGAATGGACGTATACCACAAAAATAAAGCAACATGGGACCTGGTCGTTTACATGGATTTAAATATGAAGCAACAAATCAAACATGTCACACATCAAGAATTTTTGGTCTTCTAACCTTCACTTGTACAATTAGATGAAAATGTACAACAAGTCACACAAACTGGTCCTAATTAACTAACTTACTGCCAAATCTTCTTGTTTTGTTCACGTAAATCTTCATCTCTCCAAATAAAGGCCAAGAAAAAAAAAACCAATGCAGCTCAAACTCATAAATATGCTTTCTCATGAACCAATGGATTTTGGTTGTAGATTTCTTTTGATAAAGTTCGATAGTTTATTCTTGCATAATAATTACATTGGACTAACTCTATAAGAATTCAATGTTATTTTCAATTATTTGGACGCTGGTTTTGGGCTTCCAAAAATTGGACTATTAGTCTATTCCGACTCTTTTGACCAATGAAAGAAAAAATTCAACTATTTGTTCTCTATCTTTCTAACTCCATAGTAGACTAGTAGTCATTCTATCCTAATAGCACTTCAAAACGAACCTAACCTGCAAATTAGGTTGTTAAAGAGGTAATTTCTTATAAGTAAGATTTCTAACAGTAGAACGGCAATATAAACACTACTTTATCAAAGAATGATCATCTATAATTTATCAGTCAACTTTGGTCAATCTTATTAGTCAAAGGGTTTTAAATTCACACGTTTAATCAATCGATGTGTTCTGTTTGACTAGTATTTGTACTATTTGATCGTTTGTCGGTCTGATGTTTTTGGCCGGTATAATAAAACCATTTCACAAAATGGTATATTTCTAAATGATCTTCTTCTTAACGAAATACATTATCTTTACTACTCGCGGCGAATACATATATCCATATTACAGCAATCTCCAAAACTTACTGTACAAAAATATATTCGCCTTAAAATTCTATTTAGTCTTTTACATTCTATAGCAATAAAAAAAAAAGATCATCAAATACAATCACTATTAACGTTCTAAATGGTAAAACATCCGACTTTTCACAAGTTTTGGAATTTAGTTGAGGAGGATTCGAATAATGAATCCCGAGTTACTAACAAAAACACTCTTCATTTTCTCCGATCGTTGTTGCCGGAAAAAACAGGGCCTAAGCAAAATATATCAGCCAATGGGACATTCAACGCAGGACTTTTCATGGATCTTGGAGCCCTAAAATCTGTAGAATTTATCTTCTGCAAACTCTTCTTCTTCTTTCTCTGCGGATCACTATTGCTCCGATGATATTCCGAAGAAGAAGTTGTTTTCTTGTTTCTCATCGAGTACCCAACTGATTTGCTTCGGACAAGCCAAAATCCACACCCAAAACTTGGATCATCTGAGTCAGAATCTCTTGTGTCGGAATTCGAAGCTAGGGTTTGAAGATTGCTTCTTGGAGAGGTAACCTCTGTATTCTCCGAGATCGCGTTTGTGGCCGTGAGTGAGAGGTTTTTCCAGTCTGAGAAGAGCTCATCTGCGTGGGAAAACCGTTGTTTTGAGTTCTGACGGAGACAAAAATCGAACTCTGGACTTGAATTCAAACAGGACTGGTCTGAATCTGATCGGAGAGGGACTCTCTCTTCCGAATTATGAAGATTGTGAGAAGATATTGAGGTTCCTCTGTTTTTATGGCTCATCGTGAGGGTTGAGGAAAAAAAAAAAAATCTCGTGAATGTTTATTTTTGAGGAGTGACTTAATACCAAATTGTGATGTATGAAAAGAAGAGCAACAAGGTAGATAAATATATATAAAAGGAAATGTCTAGAGAACAATTCACCTACCAAAAAAAGTTACTTTTTGTTTTTCTTGCTTTTTAACATTCTTTTGGTAATTAATTTATGTATTCTGTTGTTATTAAAAATGATCGACTGCATGAAAACTATTTGTCACACATAGTTTTTAAATATTATATAAACTGAAACGAATTAATATTTTTTAGTGAAAGATCCTCTATTTGCAATTTTGCGTGTTTACAGGAGTTATCACATAATCGAACATGAAACACTAAAGTAACTTTGTTAAACCAAAAAGAGTAAAAAAGTAAAATCTAACTTGGAATTTAAGTTTTTTTTTTTTTTTTTTTTTGCTTTATTTGGTGTAGGAACGACTTTGACTTCAGCACTGATATTTGGTAGACTTTGAAGCACTGTTTTTTGGTCGACTTTGAAAAGTTGTGGGATGGGAGTAGACTCCACATCTCAGATTGTTGAACACAACAACTGTTCACCTAATTACACATTATATAATATCTCACTAGTATATAGTATATACAACAATAAATAATTCTTTCTCTAATATTAATTATCACTGAGAATATTTTGCATACATTGTTCTGTTAGCTAATGAAGCCTTGAAGGAACAATGAAGCAGTATCCAGTGATCAGAGGGATACGCATAAATTATTCTCACTGTCCAAAATTGATAACATGTGTAAGTTCTCAATCCTACCGATTTAGATCATTTTCAATTTCATGAAGAATTGGTCTTACCAAGACCAAGAAATTAAAATACCAGCTCTATATTTTTATTTTCTATTTAGCTAATTAACTTTTTTACTGGAATATGGTTCAACAAACCATTGAAGCTGATTTTCTGAGCATAAAGTCTAAACTTGTATTGTACGTATGTTAAAAAAATTGGGTGTATATTGAAATATCAGCATACCATTAACGGAACCTTAAAAGGAAATAGTTCGGTTAACGAAACGCCTGATGACTTTTAAATGGGTATTTAACAACACTTCTTGGCGAAATAAACTCAATAAGTTTTGCTAAAATCAAATGTCAAATTATACGTTGAACCAGAAAATTATCAATAGGTCTAAGTGATTAACAGTTGTGGGTTTTGGAAAACAAGATTTTATTAATTAGCTCAAAAATAAAGCGATTACAAAAGTTGATATAACCGAAAGGTTATGCCAAAGTAAAAGAAAAATTGTTTAAGCGATAAATTAGAAAGCTTCTAGTTCTTAGGTATTGTTCTACTGCTCTCTAGAATGTATGAGTTGTCTTGAAGTTATCATGTGTCTTCTTATTTATAGGAATATGAGGTCGGTTGCTGCAAGCTCCTTTTCCTTTTCTTCTTGCGTGAATATTTCCATATTTACAATATGGAAATGTTCTTTATTCTCTGAGAGATATGTAAATTCTCCTTTATCCTTGAATATTCTCCTAAATCGATCTGATTCGATAATGATCAATTAGCATCTTCAAGCGGTTTTCCTTATTGAATCATATTGGTGCAGCCTCCTTGATTTTGATGGGCTTAGGTTATTGCTAGAGAAATCCTTTTAGGAAATATAATCATTTTTCCTCTACCAATAAGCCCCTCCCGAGTTTGTCGTATTTATTTGTAAAATATCTCAGTGGACTTCATGAAGTGAATTGGTTTGATTTCGCAATAAGCGTTAGTTCCTTGAGAGCGTTCCTTCGCAATGGTTAGCTTGGCCTGTCCTAAAGTAGTTTTGACATGTGGCACTTTCTTTAATAATTAATTTTTCTTTTTAATACGCGGCCCATTAAGGCTTTGTTCCAAGCGGT